CCCGACGAGTAGATTTTCGAACGCACCCTTATATGATAATTATTTAACCTCGGCACTTTCGAACAAACCGAGTTACCTGATTGGCTAAAAAATAAAACGTTATTACAAACTTAAACTTTATATATCTTCCGGTAACTAATAAGTAGGTAAGTATGATTTCTTGACTTATAATCTAATATCGGTAATGTTATTTCCTTTTTTATCCTCTAAATATTTTTCTTAATCAAAATTGTTAATTTACCTTCTTTTGTGGCTTTTTTCTACCTATGAATTATGAATACATATAAAATTAATACTTCTTGTGGCTATATTTATTTTTTGTGGTTATATAATGTGCTAATGTTCTAATTCCTAACTATTAATCGTATAATAAAAATATATTAATGTTTTTCTTTCTTCTTGTTTCCTTATTCTTGTTTCTCTTCAAAGTTGATCTGGATCTCCTCCGCTACGTCTTGATCCTCGAGAGTTATTAAGTCCTTAATTTCCTGTTATGGATGAAATAAAATAAATATTGATGTGCTGAATAAATGATTTAAAGCGTTCGGTCACAACATCGAGCGGGGTTATGGACATATAAGTGAGGTTATGCGAGGGAGTTCCTTCACAAATTTCTGGATTTATTTCAGGATAGGGTGTAGCCGGACATCTATTAAACATTTTGGTTTTACCTTATAAGTCCGTTTCTATGAATTCGGTCGCCAGCTCATTTTACCTTTGTAACGAGCAAGGTCTAACAGGAAGTCTCGGGCTGCCGTGTGCCTGGTTGCTTTTCCTTAGGTGCCCTTCCTTCCTTCGTAATGGTGTAGCCTGGATGTAGTCCTTGCCTCTCGTTGGGAATCCCTCTGTCGTCTTTAGGCAGCTTCCGGACCGGCTGCACCCTCATCAGACTTCGTTGTATCAGTTTATATGTTTGTTTCACACCGCTCGTTTTTCTTATCTCAACCTCGTTTATTATTTGAACGTTTAACGGTGGATGGGTGAATGTATTATGACTCGAGTTATATAAAAAATTAAAATGTTTATTTCATAAACTAAACAAATCAGTCTCTCGGTCGCATTCACTCGTACAATATTTCTTTCCCGTTCTCCCTTCTCAAACAGGGCTTGAGATCTACCCTTTCTCGGTTTACGCGCTTTATTATAACAATGGCGTCCGTTGCTACGCAACTCTTTTCGGCGCCTTTTTTATTCCGCGTTTCTAATACTTTAAGGCCCTAATCTATCGATTATTATTACTTTGGCCTAATCTCTATATTAATTCGCTCATTCGTTCGTCCAATCGCGGTTTTCGCAATATTACGCAACGCTTTTTTATAACCGCGCCTGTCTTCGCGTTCGCGTCGGTTCGTTGATTCTTGGTCGTCGCTAGTTATTGGGTGGCCTAACCTATCGTATCACCGATCATTTCCGCCGTTTTTCCGATTTTTGATTCGCTTTACGCTTTCGGTGTTCGATCGCTATTGGTAGATCGTTTTGATTGGTTATATGGTCAACGGGTATCACTCTCTCATTCTGAGGGTCTAACCCTCTCACTCATTCATTTACTGTGACTTATCCTATGATAACTTAACTTAACCTCGGTGGTTCTCTATTTTACCGATTTATCCTTTTTCTAGAAATAATAAAATTAATGATTATATCTTAGTTTAACTTGTTTATGTGGTATGTTATAACTTAAAAAATAATAAAATTATCGAACTGCCGACTTACGAAACAAATAATTATAATCGATAGGTTTCTTTCCTACCTTATCGACCTCTTTAGTGCGGCTAATACTGAAATCTTTTTTAGACTTAAAACTTTGTGTTATTTATATTGTTTATGCGTTTATATATTATAAAATATGGCTTAAGAATAAAAATACATATATTTCTTATTTTAATAATAACTTCTTTTTTGTTGCAGGTTTATTTCTTCTCTTCCTCGATCTGGACCTCGTTCGCCACTTCCTGGTCTTCAAGGGTGAGTATTTAAAGTTGTTTAAAAATGTAATTTTTTAACGAGTTTATTAATCTTTAGAATTTATTTTATCGCATTTAACTTACGATATCTTCTTTTATTGCGTCTTTTGATACGAATCTCCCTGAGATTCTTGGTCTTCCCCTTGCGACTTCTGCTTTAGTTTGTTTCTTCCTTTCTGATGGTTCTTCAGATGATTCGTCGCTGGATCGTTGTTTCTTTCTTTTAGCCGGTAGATCTTGGTTTGACGTTTCCGGTATGATGTTTTCCTTGGCATAATCCTTGGATGTAGACGGTATCTCGATATTTGTTATCGTTGGCTTTATGAGATCTATTACTCGTGCCTCGGTCATCGCATATTTTTTGTATTTCGTATCTGTGCTTGCTACTTGCTCTGCTTTCAAAACTCGGTTTCTTCTTATTTGATCGTTGTTTACTGTGTAATGTAGTTGGTACATAGTTGATTCCTTTTTGTTTTCTTTTCTTAAGTTTTGGATTACGAACGTGGCACTAATTTTGCACACATCGCATCCTTTGTTATCTTGAATCTTGAATGCATCTTCGACAATTCTTCTTCGATACGTGAGGTTTTTACACGTTTCCATTATCTTCCTTATTTCAGTTTGTTGAATCGTCGTTCTGAGGTCTCCGGTAGGCTGTTCGTGTGGTACCTGCCTCAGTTTCTGAAGCATAAACTTCATTTCTTTCAGCTGCCTTCTTCGTCTTAACACTTCGAATTTCCTCTCTATCTGTTCTTTTAGCGCTTCCGCCACTTCCTTTTCCTCCTTTTCCAACTCTTTCAAGTCGAAATTGTTATCGGTTTCGGATGACGACATCCTTTTTTCCTTTAATCTTTCTTCCTTTTGATCCTTAGTATTTATGACACTTGTTGTCTTTGTGCTTTCGCGGTTATCTGCCGTTGTTGATAGTGTTTGGCATGAATTACGTAATTGTGGCGATGGGTAACATTGTTTCGTTTTAGGGCTGGACTTCCATGTAACTTCCTTCTTATTTATCTTCATTTTCAGAGTGTTTCCAGGAATGGTCTGTGTCTTCTCGCTTTGGAGATTCTTGCCATTAGTTTTGTACCCTTCTTCACTCGAAAATCCTTTCTCTTCTTCGTCTGACTCATCCGTTGTATCCTTTGGATTTATAAAATAGTCCTTTAGCCTCTTCGTGCATTTTTCCGCACTTTGTCTTATATTTGACTTTCTTAAAATCGATTTAACATTTATTACGGCTTTTCGCTCGTTTTTACGCCTATTCGTTAATTCAGGCGAATTTTCAATTTTCCTGACCTCTGATTGGTCTATTACATAGGTTTCATTATAATCTTCAGGTTGATGTTCCTGTTCGTATTCTCTTGATGTATCTTGAGCTTCTTTGTCCTTTTGACGCAAATTTACCTCCTTTTCTTTAATCGAGGTGAGCTCGGTTTTTACCTTGCCTTGTGATTGGCTGAAAATTCTTTCTGTTATTATATATTGACCTTGAGCGATTTTCTCCTCGCTATGATCTTCCCTTTTAATCGGTAGGTTGCTCATCCCTATAGACTTGAAGCTGTTGTTGTCGGGTTGTTTTATTTCCCTGTCAACTTCGTTATTGTCTTCCTTTGACTTTAGGGTTGTTTTTAGAGTTCTACCTCTTTCTTCTCGCTTCCATTGGCTTTCCAATAAGATTGTGTCTTCTGAATCTAAATCTGACGATATTTCTTCATCGCTATCACTTATCGTGATCGTATTTATTCGGATATTATTGACGTATTCTTCGTCTTCTGAGCTGTCTTCTCGCTCTTGATCCGGTAGGGAATGTTCATCCTCGTACCTCTCGTTATCTGTGTAAGGTCCTTCTGATTCATTTTGTGAATACTGTTCTTCGTAACTTTCGGCCTTTTGTTGAGAATACTCCGTGTCCTCGTTGTCTTCGAAGTCCTCCTCGCTATGGCG